GGGGGGCACGTGCCCACCCAGGCCACCCCCAGGTCCGCCCCTGGACGAATGAGAATAGAAGATATGTTGTAGTTCAAAAATTTGGAATACATTAGTCAGAAAAATTGTTGAATTTAAGTATCCTTGATACTCCTTTTCGAATCAAATATTTGAAAAAGAATGAAGACTGCACATGAGAGAGCATGTTCATGAGCCTAACTCATGACTTTAAACCTGGATTAGAACATGAATTTGCATTTAACTTATACATCATATCTCTATTTACTTGGACAAGTGGGCCGTGCTAATGCTCCCAACTTACACCACCTCCAAACTCGACTCATCATACTCATCATTCGCATACATCCACTCTGATACCAAAATAAATTCTAATTACCTACCACAACTCTAAAATCAACACCTTGTATATTGCACATTTCATTTGTAGCTACACGAGTTAATATGCCAGAAAATGTGAACATGCTACACGTTCGCTTAAACTTTTAAATGACGAGGGGTTTCAATATGAACAAAGATGGGTAAACATGGCATCTAAAGATTAATGTGCTTTATAAATATATTGTGAAAAATGTATATCCACATCTAGAATATTGAATTATCTTGTAGTTCTCTGTGTACCCTTTGCAAAATAATGACTATGAATTTATAGGTTGTGTAAAATTATCTCTTGGTATCCATCAATGAGCTGTGAAATTGGAAGGATCAATTCCCATTGACTTGTAATAATCTTTTTCTGCGTTAGCCATCCTAGACTTGAACATATTCCACTCTCGTTGACACCTTATTCGTACCTGGATCAATGAAAAAGAATTCTATTTAATGTGATGTATAGAAGAGGCAACAAGGAGTGGGTTGAGATCAGCATGGAGGAGATGCTACTTAGTGTATATCTTTTACAATTTTTATGCGTATAAAAATAGAGTTGAAACTCATATACAAAAGTGTGCATAAGGGTTGGAGATTATATACGATGGAAACTACATACCCCTCTCCATGGAGCTTTCCCATCATCTGATTGCCCCTATCAGAACAGAATAGAAATAGTCAGTGATTGATCAATGTGTGTGTGTGTGTGTGTACCCATTGAGAATCTACAACTCCAATTTTTTCATGAGCGGGCTACAATAGCGGTATAAGTATTATCAAATATTAAGGAAGTGGTAGACTATCTAGAATCGAACGTGAATTCTTTAATTGATATTGCACAACTGACCTGAACACACCTTTGGAGGGCCAAGTCGAGACCCCAACCATGTACCAAATCATTCTACAGTATGCAAATCAAGGCAAATAAATGCATACGGTAACTAAAATAATAGAGCAATTTAAGGATTTAATAGTTAAGAATGAAAAATAACAAAATGCACAACAAACCTGAATCATATACCACACACAGCGCCATGCATCTCGAGAAAAGACAGGAGCCATGATTTCCACAAATCTGTGCATGAACAAGACAAATAATAAATGACTTGGGATAAACTGAAAAATGATTTAGCCCCTGTTTGGTTCTCATTATTTCAAAACTCATTTTTCCTCAAAATCATTTTCAACCACACAAATAAAATATTTTGCACGTAAAACCAAAACATTTTCTTACTTTTTAACCACAAATTCTCCAACAAATTACAAAACTCATTTTCTCAAATAATGTCCATCAAACATGGCCTTAGTAAAGGTAGAGAGAAAGTTCTGTACGCTGCACAGGGAGGCAAATGGGGGTCGGAACACCAGCCTGGTCTCTCTGTCGTTTCCCTATATACAGATGAAAGGGCAATGAAGGAAAAGTAGATAAATTAATTTATCAGTCAACCATAACCATGGATGAAAATTTAGTTTTAGTTGGCTATTTGGGGTTAAGACAATAATTAACATTGAAATTTTAGCAATTGTTCACTAAAACTTCGTTTTCTACGAAGTTGATCAATAACTTAAACTTCGTTTTGAATGAAATTAGACGTTCGTTACAATTTGGTCATTCCGACCACTTTCTATTTGACTAACAGAAAATTTTATGTGACAAACTAGTTGACAAATTAATAGGCTCTCAAATCACATTTTCCTTTATTCAAATTGATGGACGTAGACATTGTGAGCAAATTATATAAAAACAATAATTTAAGTATGGTGACCAACTTGTACGAAAAATGAAGGTTAGTGATCAACATGAAACTTTGCTAAACTATTTTTACCCCATGGGCTTTGACATAAAACTATTATCCTTACTTGTGAACTTCACTACCATCTCTTCTTTTAGTCATCTGCCAAGTCGTCCCCCTGTTAGGTTGCAAACCCGGCTGAGATATTTCTAAGCCATGCTTTTTCACAAGTTTAATGTACCTGAAAATATTAAAACGCGAAGAAGAAAAAGCACATTGTGTTAGCTGATTAAGATTTCCGTAAAAGCCAAATCATTTCATTGAATACTCACTCTTCAGCATCGAAATGCTCAACACCAAGGTCTTCATCCCAAATAAAGATGTAGTCATATGGGGCCACAATGTCTGGATGAAGAAACCTTTTAGCATACCACCTTTTACATATTTCAAGAAGATTCAATGTTAGCATATTCAGGTGAGTTGACAAAACAGGATCAAGAAAACCAAGAAATTTTTTCAATAGACACTCACCACTTCGTCTGTTTCCTTGTGCTCACATGAATTGCTCGTTTGGACCATTCAAACTCATCCCATTCGGTTGTTTGTCCATCATAATGAAATAAAAGGATAGTAAAGTTGTCTGAAAACTGTAGAAAGAACAGGGTGAGATTGTGAGCACGGGGGCTGAGGTGGAAGAGGGAGACTAACTGACCTTTTTCACTGCTGCATCAATGTTATTCCGTTGATTATATCCAACAGTAAATGTCACCAAATATTTTGGTTTGCTGGCCAAGTCCTGGACAACCACAACTTTGTCAGAGATCAATATTCTCTTTATATATTACAATTCCCCGTGTCCTACTTAAATATGAAGTGTTTATTTTCTGGGTACGTTTTCAACACCATTTTTTTCATAGAAAAAACTATGTTTCCTACACTAAAAAAAACCCAGGAGATGTTTTAAATCTTTGTACTTTTTACATGCTAGTAATGTTAGTTCTACACTTCGATTATCGTAAAATAGCCATCTAGTCTCTAGACATGAAACACAAAACAAATTTCAGTGCCTGACATGTTCGGCAATTGAAATGGCTCCTAGACACCTTATGCAAGGCCCAACTGTCAAGCCAAAACAATAGCTTATGAACAAAGTGACAGGATTTGTTTTGACAAATATACTATCAACCTTAAAAAATCGTTTGTAACAATAAAGAACTACCTTGTACTACTGCTAGCACTCAGGATTCAAAGTGTAGATTCAAGTAACAGAAAATCAGAACAGAATGCTTATAAAACCATAATATAAACAGATTTATCACCTCATTGGGTAAACCCCACAATCTACGGGGATAAAAGTCCGATTCAGACGCAACAATTCCTGGAGGCAACCTCTCTGCACCTTTTGGATTTGATGGAACCCAAATCTGAATCAGAAACATTTTGGGGGTATTAAAGAATAGATTTAACATAATTTTATTCCCAAATTCATTGGCTTACAAGTATAAATATTGGAGAAATGAAAAGGGCTCGAGAATGCATCATTCTAACTAGATTATAAATATACAGTTTCCTTCATTTATAAAGATATAACATCTTCGATTCTAAAAAATATGAAGTCTAGACAGTGCCTTGACTTTCTGATTTTGTGCAATTAACAAGAAAAATACATACCTTTGATATATCCTTCACATTTTGACTTCCGGTAGAGTTGGTTTCTATACTCTTTTGGGTTGACCCACCCGAAGTGTTGTTCCCAATGATTGAAAAATCACGAATAAGACAGGACGTGATATTCAGCTGTCAAAATCGTGGAACTTGTTAGATATATAACAATAGCCATACAAATGCGTGAAATGCGTAGATTCTATACCTTTGTCAATGAAAGTGAAGGAAATGACACTCCGATAAAGAAACCGATGATTATTCCAACAAATACAATAATAATTATCCTCATAGTTTGATTTGGTTTGGCACTGGCAAAACAGAAATTGAAGGTTAAACAAATCAATGTCTCATACATATACGATACTCTAGGCCAGTTGAACCACATATATAGAACAAAAGTGTCAAAACCTGTGTCCAAAATTCCCCTTTTTAGGCATCGTTCTGGTTCTATACTTTAATCATCAATAGCTTTAGTGGCTACTCTGCATTGCCAATTGAGCTTCGAGCAACCACTCTGCAAAAGAAAGTGAAGACGTGTATAAGAGGAAAACCGAAAAATGAATTGATCAAAACTATGTAAAATACAAAAACGGAGAGAGTCATGAGCACTAAACACTGACAATTCACTATATATCAAACGAAAGCTTTCTCTGCCCTGACAATTCAACAATTTGGGACTTCCTATGAGATTCATCTACGACACCAGTATTGAACCACAAATGTACAAACCCGATGTCTCGATCCGAAATGAGCAAAAATATCAAATAGATGCAGAAAATTTTTCCCAGAAACTAAATTGATCTTACTGAATCTTCCTCGATGAATCCCGTAAACTAATTTACGGCTTAAATCGATCACCAGAAAAAAAAAACTCACATGTGCTTCTATCCCACATTGACCTCTACAAGCAACCAATCACATGCTATCTTTTGACAAATGCACTACTATACAAAGATCACAACTTTAAGTAAAACCCAATTCACTTCCCTCTAAATAAACAATTTAATCGCCAGAATTCAATCCTAGTATCCATTAAATAGCCCAAAAAAAATAATCTCAACAATTTTCAAGTCAATTACAAACAAACAACTGTGATTCCTTAAAATCAAAGATAAAAGAAAAATTCAATTAACTTCAGAACACATTGACTTTCACGTTAAGGTAGCAAACACAAAATCAATAAGTACTTGTTCGTAAGTGTTTATTCAATTTTGGCTTAACCATATGATCACAAACTAGCATTGATTAATCAACACGAATATGAATACGAATTTAATATACATATACATATACAGAGAAGGAAGATTACCGAGATTCAGTAGGGAAAAACCAGAAAAATCTTGATAAATTTGGAGTATGTCAAGCCGGGAATCACGAAAAAAATTAAAAAATTGTTTTCCGGTTAAAAATTCTTTGGAAAGATAAACGTGGGTTTTGCAGCTTTTTATTTTAAGCCTTCACAAAATGCATGAATTTCTGTACAGTTTATGTTATAAAACTGAACCACAGAAAGAAATCTTCCGTGAAAAATTCGTCAAGTACGAGAAAAAACCTCGTGACTTATATGACCTGACTAGAAGTTACTTTTTTTCAAAATAAGTTAAAATTAATCGTGTTCAGTAAAATAAGCCAAACATGGGTTGGGGTTTTTGTTATTTTCAGCTGTTACTTGTGAATGAGAGTTTTAAATGCAATAAATGGTGCAATTAAAATTAAAAAAAGTCTTTTGTAAGCAACAATTATTGCTTATTTGCTATCAAACGCGTGTAAAAGCAAAATTTAATTAGTTGCAATGAGATTATTTTGCTAATTATTCTTATGGGATTGGTCTAAGGATTTAATTTGGTAAGCTGTAATTAGCCGACTAACAATGTCATAATCACTTTTGAAGATTACAAAGTTTGATTAATCGATGATTTCAATTAGTGAAAACATAAATTTCTTAGTGTGGAAAAACGGAAACAATAATTTTTTGTAACATATAGCTGAAAACGAATACGTAAGAAGTGATTCTAGAAGAATTAAAGTCAAATAATGACCTGTAAATTAAACATGATCATAATTCGTTACGACAGATTCTAAGTAAGAAAGCAGAAGTCGGAATTATTTAAAACTCTGTGAGGTATAATTAAATTGGTTTCCAATTTTGCTCGACAACCTTTGAAACATATTACGGTTTCAATTTTGAAGTAACGGAGAGCTGATATCAAATTGTCGAATTTTAATCTATTGAGTGATGATATACAATAAATCTGTCTAATCTGATATAGTATACAAAAGGAGTCAGTCGAATGCAATGAAATAAATAGTATGGTGGGGTTGGCTTTGCCCAAAAGTGAAGTTTTAATTTGGTTGTAAGATGGAACACTTTGCTTGGTTATGTTAATAAAAATTAATTAATTGAAAAGTCTTACATGACAGACGTGTCACAGTTGACGACTAGTCTTTATGCCGACTTTGACTCAAGAAAAGTCAAGAATAAAAGAAATGGAGTATCACCGTAGACTTGGAATGGGTCAACGGCGAATTTTCGGTACAAACAGGTGGAAAATAGTTAGGCCGCCGCTGCCAAACCTATGTCCTATTATATAAAATATCTATAAATTAACTCTTTCTTCTAAATAGTAAATACAAACACGCCTTTCTTGACTAAATTTTAATGAATTTAAGCCCTCATTTGGAAGAGATTAAAATCAGATTTTTAGTACATTCTGATAAAAATTGATGAAATATGTGGTTGAAAAGTTGAAAGTACCATGAAATGTGTAGTTAAAATTAATTGTTGTCTTTGACTTAAAATTTTAATTGGATTTTAATCAAATCCAAACAGCGGATAAAAATCTATATGAATATAAGCCACTGTTTGACATTCACAATGAGTTTTTTGGGGAAAAAAATTGATTTTGGAATTGTGATTTTTTTTTTTCAGAAGATGTGTTTAAAAAGTAGGGAAAATTTTAACTATGTGAAAAATATTTTATTGTGTAAATATATGGTTGAAAATGAGTTTGAGGGAAAAAATTTTGATTTAATGGATGTGAAACAATGGCTAAATAATTAAAATCAAAATTTATGTATTCATAATAAAGATTTTAATAAATTTCATGAAAATATGGTGTTATCAATAGGGTGTGAATTTATAAGAAATTCATAAATTTAAAAGGATTTAGTAGATTTGGAGCCTATAAGTATAACTTAGCTCTTTAGAAATTCCAATATCCTCGTGTTTCAATAGTTTTCGAGATTGCGAATATAAAGTCAAATATATATATCTTTGACAAAAAAAAAAGGAGAGTAAATTAAGAAATAAAAATAAAAAAATAAATAGCGATGAAATATCTCATTTTTTAATTTTCATTCCGAAATTCAAAGTGGGAGAAGAAGGAAATGAGGAATTGAAGTGTCGTTCGTATTGGAATTTGGAGTTGAATTTTTGATATCTGATATCTCTCCCTCTAATTTCTTATGATTCTTTTCCATTTCTTATTTTTTTCTCTTTCTTCTAAAGAATCAAGTCTAATTATTACAATGCATAGGAATAAATATAATTTGATTTATATTAGCTTATTTAGTTTATTATAATTTTCCAGTTTGACTTAAATTAATTCTTTTAAAGGAGATTCTTTTGTTTCTAGTATTTAGCCCCTATTTTAAAATAATATAGCTAGCAAGTTTCAAAACAAGTGAACTAATTGGCCATAAGGACAAACACTGATGGACCCAGTACCTGGCGAGGGGGGCGGCCGCCCTTGCTGGGATCCGCCGGAGCGCCTCTTGTGCCAGTCCGTCTCCGTCTGATTTCTGCCTTTGCTCTGGTTCGTCTTCTCCAAGTTTATTTTTTTATTTTTTCAAAGTGGACTAAGGCCTAAGGGTCTGCTGCATTTTTTTTTTTTAATTTGTTTTGAGATTGGGCCTGAAGAATCCAGCCCATATATTTGTTTGTTTTGAGATTGGGCCAAAGCAGCTCATTCCTCTTTTTTTTTTATAATTGGATTGGATAATTTGGATTGGGCCATTTTTCTTGGCCCAGTCCTTAATATATACCTAACCTACTATCCAATTTAAACAAAATCGAACGAAAATTTGAAATCAATCCATAATTAGCAATTCCCAAATTCTCCAATCTCTCAACTCTCCCGACCATGTCCTGACCGATCAGCCGATTCAGCCAGCCCAACGTGACCGTGACACCGTCGCAAGGGCAAGCGTCTCCGACAGGCGACAGCGACGCAGGCATTGGGCAGCCGATTTTGTGAAACTCGAGGGCCGAAACCGTAAGTTCTTT